ACCCCAATAAGAGACCCTTTTTTTTTTATGTTTAGTTTTGAGAGAGAGAGCGAGTATGAATGGGGGAGGGACAGAGAGAGAGAGGGAGACACAGAACTTGAAATGGGTCCCATGCTCTGTACTATCAGCACAGAGCCCAACGTGGGATTTTTTTGTTCTTATTTTAGACAATGAGTGAATTGGGGAGAGGGGTAGAAGGAGAGAGAAAATTTTAAGCAGGCTCCATGTTCAGTGCAGAGCCCAATGCAGGGCTTGATCCCACCACCCTGGGATCATGACCAGAGCTGAAATCAGGAGTAAGATGCTCAAGTGAGCCACAGGCACTCCAGGACATTAAATTTTAAACATAAAACCAGCCAGAGTCCCAGAAACATGAGAAGTGGGGGGGTACCCTCAAGCATTTTGATAACTGTTCTCCCATTTCTTAGAGGCTTTTCTCTAGAGCAGAAAGAAATTTCTAAACAGCACAGTTTCAGGGTGCATGGATGGCTGTCAGTTAAGCATCCAACTTTGGCTCAGGTCATGATCTTGCAGTTTGTGAGTTCGAGCCCCACATCAGGCTCTGTGCTGACAGCTCAGAACCTAAACCTGCTTTGGGTTCTCTTGTCTTCCTCTCTCTTCCCCTCCCCCGCTTGTTCGTTTTCTCTCTCTCCCAAAAAATAAATAATAAAACATTTACAAAAATAAAAAAATAAACAGCACAGTTCCAACAGGAACAGTCTGGTTCTAAAAAGGAGGCAGACCAAAAGCTAGAACAGTTTCAGTAGGCACAGTCTGGTTCCAGGCAGGAGTCAAGCCAGAGACCAGCATGGTTTCATCATGAAGAGTCTCGTGTCCTAAAAGGAGTCAGACCGAAGGCCACACAAGTACTCTCAGAGATTGAAAAAACAAAAACAAAAACACAAGGCCTGAAAACAGATTGCAAATGAAGCCTGGAGGCTTAAACACAAAGCAGGGCACTCAAAATCCAGGAGAAAACTTACCTTCAAACTCTGTAGGTTTTGAGAAGACAGCGTACCCAGTTGGCTCTGTAGATACCATCATCTCTTCGCTCACCAGCCTTAGAGTTGTTGAAGGTCTTCACTAGATCTCATTTTTGATCATCAGGTAATGCTGACTTTAAAAATAAAACTGCCAGGGGCACCTGGGTGGCTCAGTTGGTTAAGCCTCTGTCTCTTGATTTTGGCTCAGATCATGATCTCATGGTTCATTAGTCTGAGCTCCATGTGGGGCTTCATGCTGATGACACAGAGCCTGATTGGGATTCTCTCTTTCCTGTTCTCTCTACCCCTCCCCCATACTCACTCTCTCAAAATAAACTTT